ATTTTTGATTATATTTTCTTTATTTTTCTCTCTCTACAGTGAATATTACCATATAGACATGTTGTGGATCAGCTATTAGTCTCCATATAGGTTTTATCTCTTAGCCAGGAATGGTCTAGCCCGATTCATCATCCGGTTTTACTTTGTTTCACTTTGTCTGACCTTGCAGCCTTAGATTTCGATTTCGATTTTTATCATTTAACCAGTCGCTGCTATTTAGTCATGATGTATGTAATGCACCGCTAATGGGGCTAACTGGTATATTAATCTTTTCCCAAATCTCATAGGAAGAAGGGCAATAACATCTTTCCCCTTGATGAAATTCACCAAACATTCTCTTTATTCCAGCTTTAAATCCTCGATCTCAGGAATCGTTGACAACACTGAATATATGACTCTTGGCTGATTGGCTGGTGCCCGAACTTGCGCTTTTGGGGTTTTTGCGAACCGTCTAGTGTATTTCGATTCCTGACCTAGTTGCTTGAGAGAAATTAAATGGAGTGGAGGCACCAGCCTGTCTAGGAATGGTCCACAATGGTATTGAAATGATCCAGATTGCATTTGTGTGTTTAACATGTGTGAATGAAACAAAACACAAGTCCAGTATATTTTGATTAGTAAACAACATTTCAAGATCAGAAAATAGCATAATATGGGCCCTTTAATAATTAGTTTTTCTGTATTAGTTCCAAAAGAGGAGGTAAAGTTGTTGTAAATGATATAAGTAATTTACCTAAAATTGTACAGAAAGAAAAGTAATTATTTTTAGTTCACTTGAAATACCGTATTTTATGGGCTATTAGATGCGCTCTTAAGCCTCCAACTGCATCAAAAATGATTGCGCGCCCCGCAATCACACAGACCAGACAGCGACCGCGCAGCGAAACACACCCGCACCCACACTCATCGCTCCACGAGGACGAGGAACGGAACGGAGGAACGAACTGAAAAAGCAAGTCCAATCTGAGCCACAACTGAACAACTGAGTCACTACGAACACGCCACCAATCCAGCGGTCCCAGACAGCACCCTCTCTACGCGCCACAATTGAACAAAGCCGAGAGTCACCATGAACACGCCAAACAAAGTCCGACTGACCCATCGAACTGTTGTGTTTCGTTTAAAGTCCGGTGCGGTTTATTTGTGAAAAAAGATCGAAAATAGACCATTCTATGACAGTGCGCCTTATAATCCAGAGTGCCTAATAGCCCGGAAAATACGGTAATTAAAATGGTGTTCCAGTTTTTATTACTTAAAACATTTAAACAGACGTTGCTTTTATTCCTAATTTTAGAGTCGTCCCTTTTGGGCCTTTCCAGTATCCAGTATGACACCATGAGTTTTACATTGTCTTGCTCACTGGCAGACATGAAGGACACACTATATAAACACTTGTAGCCTTTGGTCCTGTTTTAATTGCTGGTCATATGATCTCCTGTTTAATCCCATTGATCTGTGCTCTGCTTTTGGAAACAAAGAGCCTTTCTATTAGTGGAGCTTTTTATCATTCAGACCAGAGTCGTCTTTCATCTCACTCACTGTGTGAAGGGAGACTGAAAGGGGAGCGGGAGCTTTGAAAACCACAGATGAGTTTTATTTGTTTAGGAAGCAAGCACATTTTGAATAACCACAGAGCTTACTTTAAAAGTTCAAGATTAAGAGTTAAATCATAATTAATAACAGGATGTCATTTTTTTATGTGGACTAAGCCAAGTTATGGTGTTTGCAGAGTGGGAGCTTGCAATTCAGTATATTCACAGTCTGCTAACTAGGGGTGTAACGATATCTAAATCTCACGATACGATATTGTCACGTTATGAACCTCACGGTACGATATTTATTGCAACATCAAGGGAAAGCTCACGATATGGTGGGGTGGCTCACGATTAGGGATGTAACAATATCCAAATCTCTCGATACGATATTTTCATGATATGGATCTCACAGTACGATATTTATTGCGATATTTTGTGGAGGCTAACAAAACTGTTAATATGCGACTTTTTCCTCTTAAAATGCCTTGACAAGACTTAATCCAAAGAACTAAGACTTAAGTGCTTACAACTGTTATTTCTTCTTATAGTCTACACTGAAATGGAGCAAAGGATCATGGTCTATGTAGTTCCCTCTGTCTTTTTTAGCTATTGCTGCACTATAACTCTTAATTAAAGAAAGAGACTTGTAGATTGATATGTTGTGATGGATGTTATTGTGAGAACTTTGACGATATGATATCGCAATATCTCGGTTATTGTTACATCCCTACTACGAACATATTTGATTTAAAGTGTTACAGATTTTGCATTTTATAGGCTCTCTGTGTACCCTTTTACCTAAGAATAGACTCAGATGAACCAAAGCATGCTTTTTGACGGGTATTTTTTATTGCATTGAAATACAGTAAAACGTGTGTCCTTAGACTTGCATCTCCATAAACATGACTCCTGCTGGTTTCCATAGAAATGTTTTTCTTTTGGCTATAATATTCCACAATATTCCATACTTCAGCGCATTCACCATGGAGATGGATGAGTTTTGTGGTTTTAACTTTTTATTTTCATGGAAACATGTAAATGATGTGCCACCTCTAGAAAGTTGCATGGTGTTGCTAGGCCTGTTACCATAAATATTATATCAACTTATCACTCAATAGTAGACAGATTGCATAATACTTTTTGGGGGTTGAGACTTTCTCGTTTTGGTTTATTTTTCTGTACTACAATTAGATTTGAGCTGTAGAGTGTTGAACTATGAACTTCTCTGACTTTTTCTTCTATGATAAGTGTTGCATTCTGTTATTTTTTATTTACTGTAGTTCTCATTTTAACAATATTTTACAATTAGAACATTTTTTTGGGGGGGGGGTATTACCATTTATCGTCTGTATTTACTTCAGCAATATATCGCTCTTCAAAATGTGCTTTAATTTTAATTTAATTTCCATGACATTTTTAAAGGAGCTAAGATAAAAACACACATACACACTAAATATCGACTGAAACAAACACAGATTTTGCTGAAAAGACTTGGACTGAAACTAAATCATTATAGAACGTATACATTTGTCATTTTCAGTGAAGATTATGATAAGTTTAAGCTGTATCCAGGATGTTTTTGGCTGACAGAAGACCACGTTATCCATCAGAGCATCAAACCTGCAGTGTTTTCTGGCAGTGTCATTAATTATTCAGAACAGGACCAGGGCCAAATCCTGCTTTGTCTGAACTCCCCGGCCACAGGGTCCATCTGCTCTTGGCGTGGACCTGGGTGTGTTTGTGACTTCTACAGTTACAATATATGGGCCAAAGTCCAGTCCGAGCTCAAACTGTAACAGCGCTGACTGAGTCCTGACACAACACCAGCTGCTGTTTGTGTGAGGAGTGGACCAGGGAGGGGGCAGTGGGAGGGCATCTGGGGCAATGTCTGGAATTAAGTGCTACCACTGCCAGACAAAATAAGAAGTGAGGTCAACGCGGACAAGCAAATGTGGCGATTTGTTTTACTGTTGTATACACTGAAAAACTAAAATCTAGCAAAGTTAAAGTTAACATTACTTGAATTAACAAAGTTTTATCATGATAATTTGACAAGTAAAATTATCAACCAGTGGAATAAGACTTTTTGTACTTAAGACTTCCTGCACTGTGTAACTTTTCTGGTAGAGGGTCCGTCACCTCCTCATCTCCATGGAAATATTGTTGCTTTGTCCAAAATGCTCCACACTGTTGCATTAAACTGTATTAAACGTTCCTATGTCCATGAAAACAAAAAAGTGACACCACCGAGCCAAGTTACACGTCAGATCTGTGGAGAGGCTTTTTTAAGTAATAAAAACACCTGTAATTGAGTAAATGCAAGATAGATAAGTTTAATGCCATACTGTGGAACATTTCAGGCAAAGCAGTCAAATCATCATGGGAAAAAAAATCAGATGACAGACCCTCCACCAGAAAAGTTAAAAATATGAAAATTTGTCTTGCTACACTAATGTCGCTTGAAGTAAAGAAAACACACTTACTCCATTCCGTAAATAAAGTAAAATGGTTTTAATTTTAGTCATTTTAGCTAGCTTTTTGCAGGGTTGGCCTGTCATCACCATAACAAATTTTGAAGTACAATATATTGCTGAAGAAAAACGATAATATTGAAACTTTTAAATTTATGACACTGACAGTAACTCTAAAGCAGGATTATCTCCAAAAACTATTCTAAATGTATGATATTGTTAAAAAGGACAAACTGCAATAAATAAATAAATAGAAGAATTAAACACTTTAGTAGTTACTTTGTATGTATAATAAGACATAGAAGTTATTCATTTGCTCCTTGCAGCTGAAATCTTATAGTACAGAAAAATAATAAAAGATTTCCAACTAGTACAATGAAAAATATTGATAGATTTTGATACCTAAAAATGATTTTTCTATCTATCATATATTAAATGATCCAACTAAATTAATTTTAACCAAAAAATTGTTAAAATTTCCTTTGATCTTTTTAATTAATAGTAATAGTCATTTACATGTGACAAACACATCTCAAAGTGCTACAGTTGGTTTATAATTACAATTTATTGAGAAGTTTACAGTCAATTCTCTGTCAATGAAAGCATGCTGTTTGTTGCAGAAGTTGGACTTTTGAGTAAGAATTGAAGTCTCTGAATAGGGGCCAATTATATTAAAGAAATGAATGTTGAATAAAAAAAAAAAAAATTAAGATTATATTAGAAAGAGCTAATGGCCTACTTGTTTACGTTGTAATAAAGTTCAAATAATGACATGCCCAAGCTACATTTCCAACCTTGCATTTTTATTTAGGCTGTTTAAAGTCAATTTTCTCTTTTCGCTGTCCAACTTTGTTATATAAGAGAACAGATACATCACTTTGGTGCATTCAAGGACATCATGAATATCAGGAATAGTAGCTTCTTTGTTTGAAATATACCCTCTGCTCTGTACAATATCGAGTAACAGAGAATTGTCTTTTTGTTCTCTACACAGGAAAGTCCCATCTGGCCATTGTCCAAAAAGTCAACAATGAAGGAGAAGGAGACCCTTTCTATGAAGTTTTGGGACTGGTCACCCTTGAAGATGTTATAGAGGAAATCATCAAATCAGAGATCCTTGATGAATCAGACATGTACAGTAAGTAGACCATGTCCTGTTATTGAAAGATTATTTTATTATTATTTTATGTATTTTAATTTGTATATTGCATTTATTTATTTATATTTTAAACTGATATTTGTGTTTCCTTGTCTCATCAGCTGATAACCGTACCAGGAAAAAGGTGGCCCCAAATAAAAACAAGAGGGACTTTTCTGCTTTTAAACATGAGAGTGAATCTAAAGTGAAGATTTCTTCTCAGCTCCTCCTCGCTGCCCATCGCTTCCTAGCAACAGGTAAGAATACATGCCATATTTATTTCAACACTGTACTTCATCATAAACAGGAGGTAATTAACACCTGCTTGTAGGCCAACTAGATAAATGTTGGTCAGATGTAATGTTGTCTCCCAGTAAATTTAGTCCCTTTGGCCACTTGGACAGCTAATTTTGTAACGTATTGATCTTGTAACCTTGACTACTTCCTCTGTAATATAATCCGTATTTGCTTTTACATCGATTTGATCTTCGTCCAGACATAGAACCAAATTTAACATAACTTTGAAGCTCCGAGGTGCACAATATAAAGATTTTAGTGGGAGTTTTGCCACTTGCTGAAATGCTCCATAGTGTGGCATTAAACATATCTGTCTCCATGGAGATACCAAACCAAGTCACAGGTCAGATCTGTGGTGAGACAAACTCGCTCACAGTTTTAGTTGTTGATTTTTTTTAGCTATTGTTAGTGAATGCATGATAGTGTAATGCTACACTGTGGAACATTCTTGGCAAAGCAATATCATCTCTATCCAGCTATGGCATCCTCTGTGGTCATTGCAATTAAGCAATAAAATCAAAATATTATATCTTTTGAATGGGGAAAGTCCTCATCACGTCCTTCAAATCAGGAAGGAATTGTTTGTCTGGAACCCATGAATAGAGGGAAACAGGTGCATGAGAAAAGTTACATAGTGCACCTTTAATTCCAGAAATATTTATTTCATTACAAACCATTGCAACTAATACAATGGAGCTCAACAGTGACCATCCGCTCAGACCTGTCCCCGGTTCTGGAAGTAAACTTCTTATTCATTTTTTCCACCGACTGTCTGGAAAAAAAAAGTCTGAAAGCATAATCAGCAACGCGGTAACTAATGAACACAAGACCTATAATTTCATTTAAAAATCTGTTTCTGAAACTTTATAATCCATGAAGTTATTAAAGCATTAGTTACACTTAGCTGTTGCCCTCTGCGATGTCTTTGAACTCTTAATATTTGAAATTTTTGAAAAGCCTATGGGAAAAATAAATGGAAAATGCACTTCCGGATCCAGAGCAGGCGGTCACTGTTAAAGGTCCTGTATTGCGCAAAATTGATTTTTCAGAGCTTTAAGACATGTTAGAATGCTGTTACTCATCAAAAACACATTATAAATGGCGTAATACAGACCCTTTAAGCTCCATTGTGTTTAGTTAAAGCCCTAATTGACTAGAACATGTTTTTTTTGCCTCTTCTTGGCTATTGTAAGCATACAGTAATTCAGTGGTATGTTTTTTTGTAAAAGTGGTCAGACAGGGCTTAAGTATCAACCACAATGCCATGATCCGGGGTGTGATCCTGACCCCATCACCTGACTCCCCGCACATGTCTGAGCACGCTAGACTCGACGTGTTTATATCCATTTGTGTAGCTCATTTTAGCACATGTATCTGAGCCTACCAACCAGGAACAGTGTGGAGAAGAGCCAGGCTGGAGGACTGCAGCTGAGAATGTCGCAATCTGCTCTAGTTAGCATATTTATAGCGCTGACGGTTGGCTTTAGTCGTCGCTTAACATGACATAGCTCTTCTTACTCATAGGCAATTAGTATTTTGTAATAAGTTTGTTTTTTTCTTCTTTTTATGTCTTATAATAGATGATAGAAAACTGAAAATAGGCAACTAAAGGCCCCATATTACGCAAAATTGACTCTTGTGAGCTTTAAGCCATGTTATAATCTTTTTGCATCATCAAAAACATGCCCAGTGTAGTTATTTTGTTTACACATGTGTGAGTAATCCTTTATTCTTAATCTGTTTACATAACCAAATCTAAAAATGCTCTGTTCCACCTTGTTATGTTATGAAAGTTTTCAATTTAACAGCTACCTTTTACATTTTGTTTAGTAACGATGTAACAATATCCAGATCTCACAGTACGATATTTTCCACGATATACATCTCACAGTATGGTATTTTGTGGAGGGTAACAAAATTGTGATTATGCTTCTTTTTCCTCTTAAAATACCTTGACAAGACTTAATTTAAAGAACTAAGACTTAAAAGTGCTTAGAACTGTTATTTCTTCATGTAGTTTGCATCAAAACGGAGCAAAGCTTTTGCCGCACCATGACAATGATTTTAAGCAAAGAAACTTGTGATTTGATATATTGTGATGGCCCATGATATTACTGAGAGACTTTTGATGACACGACACCATGATATTTTGGTTATTGTTACATCCCTATTGTTTAGTAGAGATTGGTAGTTTCAGGGCTGAAATTGTCCAAATGATTCTACTGTTATATGTAGTGTAAACACATTTTCTGATTGAGAGAAGAACTGTAGTGAATGAAACAAAACATAACTCCAGGCATGTTTTTGATGAAAAAACATTATAACACTCAACAGAAAACAGCCTAATATGGACCCTTTAAAGTTGGAGTACTCTGAGCTAAATCTATTTAACTACTTGATGTTTTAAGTAGGTAAATAAGTACATTTCATGAATCAGTTACGCTCATATCATTTCAGTCCTCACTTTGTTTGTTCTGTGGAGTCTATTGCTTTGAATTTGGGTGGAGACCAAGGCACTCAGGACTAGCTGTTCCCATTACAGCAACTTGTCATACGGCAATTGAGAAATCCATATCCACAAAAGGCACTTCAGAAATTCAGTTCATAATTTTTCTTGTATCTATCAAATCATAAACATTGCAGAAGACTTTGTTAATGATTAATTTTAGTACATATTTCTATCGCTTACCAAATATATTCTTTGTGCCTTTTTAATGTAAACCTTAAGGTTGTTGTGTTTTTACTACTTAAAAAAAATACTTTTTTTTCCTCATATTGACTGATCTAACTTTTTGGTGCATTTATTGCCATGGTAGCTGTAGTCCTCTCAATTAAAAAGCACCAAGCATTAAGCCTGTCAGGATTCAATATATACTGTTAACAACATTTTTCAGGCTCAGTATTTATCATGTGTACCTTTTCTTTGTACTAGTGTGGCCATTTTTAATAATTGTACATAGTATATAAGTATTTAAGTATTTAAGTATTTAAGTTGTAGATTCCGGTGATTTTTATACCAAACTATTGTTAAAATCTGTTTTGATATCACAGAAGTGCAGCCGACAGACTTGGCTTCCTTTTGTGCACAAATTTTACAAATATCCAATGCGATTCTTAGCTCACAGTCAAGTCAGACATATTTTATTTTCAGAAGTTAGTTTTCTTTACTGCTCTCAGGCCGTTGCTTTTTTGTCCCCTTTTCAAAAACTAACAGGTATTTTAAAGCTTGTACTCCTACTGCAATTCATCTTTTAATTTCTACATAGGTGTAATATCATTTGATTGGGGCTTCATTGACCTCAGAGCTCCTGTACATTCAGAATCACTACAACTGTTGAGTGTTTGTTGTATGATTTTTATTGCTCAAACGAATTGCCCCGGTGGGATTAACAAAGTCCTTTGAAACTGAATCTGAATAGATGTTCCATTGATTGACTCAAATGACGCAAGATAGATAGATAGATAGATAGATAGACAGATAGACAGATAGATAGATAGATAGATAGATAGACAGATAGATAGATAGACAGATAGACAGACAGATAGATAGATAGATAGATAGATAGACAGATAGACAGATAGACAGATAGACAGATAGATAGATAGATAGATAGATAGATAGATAGATAGATAGATAGATAGATAGATAGACAGATAGACAGATAGACAGATAGACAGATAGATAGATAGATAGATAGATAGACAGATAGACAGATAGACAGATAGATAGATAGATAGATAGATAGATAGACAGATAGACAGATAGACAGATAGACAGAGAGATACTTTATTGATCCCAAAGGAAATTCAATGTCTGGCAACAGTAACAATGAAACAAACATAGCCGTCCATCTTCTTGAATTCACTGACTATAGGGGTGCATTATACTGAATACTATAATTAACTTTAGTGTTTTATTGTACTATTTATACATTTATATCATCCTGCTGTATCATGATATTTTTGCTTAAAATTTGCTCTTGTGACAGGTCCAGATCTAAATGTGATGACTCTGATAATTACCCAGTTCTCATTTTGTATACCACCCACCATAACGCCTGGACTATAATGTAATGTCTGGACTAACTGCCTGTTTTTCTGTTCTTCCTGCAGAGGTCAGCTTGTTCAGCCCATCTCAGATCTCGGACAAAGTGTTACTGAGGATTCTGCGACATCCGGACGTCATCCAGGAAATAAAGTATAATGACAATGATAAACGTTCACTCCATCACTACGTTTACCAGAGGGGCAAAGCTGTCGACTACTTTGTGCTCATCCTACAGGTATGCACTTTAAAAAAGCCACACTGTGTCACTTTTTAGCCACCTGCATGTCTGCATGGACATTTTAATCCTTTGGCTATAATTTTCCTAAGTATGACATTAAGAGTAGTTATCTCCTTGGAGAAGTATGGTGTTAACTTTCTAATTCCATGTAATCATGCAGGTAATTTGCCGCCTCCAGAAAGTTACATGGTGTTGCTTTGAAATTAAGATTAATTTCAGAGTGTATGTTTTAAACAAGTCCAGGTGCATCTGAGGAAAAACTGTGTAATCTAAAAAGTAAACACCCATGCAAGAGTCACACAGATTTCATATTTTTGTAGAGGTGTAAACTACAGGGTTAGCATGTTTTACACGTAAAACATCAAATTAAATCGTCCAATGAGGTTCATTTGCTCTTCCGATCATTTATTTTAATAGATTTCTTTTTTAAAGGGCCCGTATTACGCTATTTTCAGATCTATGTTATAATGTTGTTTCCTCATCAAAAACACGCCAAAAACCTGGTGTTGCGTTTTTGTTCCTCACATGTTTAACACAAAAATCTTCTTCTTTTAAACAGAGAAGTGTCATATGGTAATACAGGAAGTGATCCACTGTGTTTTTAAACTCCATATACCCTCCCTAGAATCACTGAGATTATTTCAGCCCTGGAAATGCCCATCAGATATTGAACCAAAGGTAAAAGAAGCTGTTAACTTGAATACTACTGCTTCATGACGTCACAAGGTGGAACAGAGCATTTTGGTCTTTGGAGATGTAGACAGTATGTAACAAAGGATACTCAAACAAGTGTAAATGAATCAAAACACAACTTCAAGTATGTTTTTGAGGAGTTGACAACATTATAACATGGCTTAAAATGCACAAGAATAAATTTTGTGTATATAGGACCTTTCTGAAAAAAGTATTAAACTATATAAAATGAAATGATTTCTTTTTCCTAAATATATAAATATCTGACTTGCTAATTACTATTATTGAAATTGGTTTTCATATCAATACCTATGGCTGTATTATGTGATGCACCAGAAGGTGGTTTTAAAAATAAATGGCATGGAGCGGACCCCCCACTGGACTATAATGAACCCCCCAGAGTCCTTCAAAATGCCAGTCTCACGCTGGCGTGGCCCAGAGAAAAACTGTGCACCTGATTTAGAATTCTGACCTTCTAAATACCTCCTCTTCATCCTCCGTCTTTCTCCTCATGTCTGTCTGAAAAATTGATGCCCAGACTAGATACTAATTTGAATAAGTGTAGATACTGACATAAAACTTATACAGTTGTTGAAAGGTTTTGATCTGTCGATACTTAAAGTTTGACTTTAATCTGACGTTTATTTTAACATAGACTCAGCAGAAACAGTCAATAGTTTTTTAGATTGTCACTCTTGCCTTGTTTGTTAAAAATAAAACACCTAAACAGGACCATGAACGCTCATATTGATCACAGGCTCCTTTATCTTTTTTCTGTGTTTGCTAATCTGTGCCTTGTGTCAGTGCTAATTGTAGAAAGAGACTGTTTAATAATCCATAATTGTGCTATAAAAATTGGTATCAAAATCAAGTGTCAATGTTTTGTATTGAGACTCTAGCTGTTCATTTGGTCCATTATAGCACCACACCTAAGGGCTTGAACATTGTGTTTTTTAAATTGTTTACTGTAACAAAGTTTGTGTTGGGAACTAAAATGAAGGAAGTAAAAATAACCACCTAACCACAATAATTAAAGGCGACAACACTCAGAAAACGTCCATATTTTATCATAGGCGATTTATATTTATATAGTTTATATTTCATGTGTTCAGTGTGTTCAAAATATATTCATTAGCTGCTAGTGAAGTTACCATAGAAATACTATTTATCTAACTTCCATTGAAATGAGAAATTCCTTATTGAATATGTTTATGTTATATAATTTCTGTAGAAAAACGATATTGTCTTTATGTAGACAATAGGGGATACACCACAACACCAGTGTCGCCATAAAGCTGATATATTTGCCCAGAATCAGAATGTATAACTATTGGTGCTTTGCAGTGACACCATGCTGGAGTTGTTCTGCATGTGTCTCTAAAGTTGTAAGACTGTCTGAAAACTCAAGAAAAAATACAAACTTGATTTGAACAATACTTTCTCATGAGCTTGTGATGATTAAAATCGTTCATGATCCTGTTTAGGAGTTTGATTTTCAACACAAAGGTGAGAGTTACTAACTGAAAAGCTGTTGGCTGATGCTGAGACTGTAATTTTATGTGTGAGAGACTTGTTTAAGAGCAGAAATCAACTCTCCTGTTGTAGTTCCAACCATGTTAGCTCTTTCTAATCAGATTGTGTTAAAATAAAGCTCATATTAAAGTCTAACAGAGCAGTGCTTTCAGTTAGCTTCACATGCTTGGGGAATGTTGAGGACATCACCTGCGAAGTATCAATATTTTGTATTTAATTTATTAGCTTGTCCTTTTCCCAGCAACCAGCTCATACAAATTTCATGTAGAGCGGACTTGACTTTTCAGAAAGTGCTGTGCGATGGTTTTCCAGGTCATATATGGGACACTCAAATATTGATCCACATTATGTAATACAGCCAACACATTTAGGAGTCAATAGGTTTATTCAATTTCCCCTACAGTACTGTGCACTCCACTATAGAAATATACCAGACCACAGGGCTTTTATCTCTAAGCCATAATCTGGTATAACCTGGGCACACTTTGTTCTTTAATAATTGCAACCAATCTAATTCAGCTGTAATTAATCTTGCAGTGCTCGTTTTGAAACATACAATATACATTCATATTTCAGCGTAAATAAGATGATAATATTGTATTTCCTTATGTTCATTTTAAGCATTAGGTCTTTACATTTTACATTATTTAGTATGTTTTATCAACTAGTCTCCACTTTAGCAGGTACATGGGAACAGTATCTTACCACTGTAGCATCCTGCATAAAAAGTAGATAATTTAAACTATTGATTCACATTATGTAATACAATAAATACCCATTAGGGGTCAGTAGGTACACCTTCTCTTTAGACCACTTTGCTTCTTTGTTATGAGTTTCAGGCAAATGATTCCTTCCTGATATGATTTGAAGGACTTGGTGAGGATCGCAGTGGTCTGTTTGAAATCTTCCACAGTATTAATCTAAACATTTTATTCCACTATGGCTGCTTTTATTGCGCAAAGATACCAGGTCACAACTCCACAGATCTGACCTGTAACTCAGCATGGGGACATCATCTGCTAACCTAAGAGTGTTTAATGCCATCACATTTTTTGGTAAAAACAATCACATTTCCATAGAGACAACCAGTAAAGTCACTAGAGATAAACCAAAATATCGGGCTGATATTTGGACTTTGTAGTGCATTGACTATTGGCTTTAAATCTCCAGCACAGGCAGATATTTTGTTTTGCTCAAACTGCTCCCTAAAAAATATACAAAGCTTTATATTAACACTTTAATATGAAGAGATAACTGCTAGGGGTGTAACAATATCCAAGTCTCACGATACGATATTGTCAAGTTATGAACCTAACGATACGATATTTATTGCGATATCGTGAGAAAGCTCATGATATGGTGGGGAGACTCACGATTAGAGATGTAACAATATCCAAATCTCTCAGTACGATATTTTCATGATATACAGCTCACAGTACGATATTTATTGCAATATTTTGTGGAGGCAAAACAAAAAAAACTGTTAATATGCGACCTTTTCCTCTTAAAATGCCTTGACAAAAATTTATCCAAAGAACTAAGACTTAAAAGTGCTTAGAACTGTTATTTATTTTTGTAGTCTACATTGAAATGGAGCAAAGGATCATGGTCTATGTAGTTCCCTCTGGGTTTTTCTTTAATAGCTGTTGCTGCACCATAACTCTTCATTTAAGCAAAGAGACTTGTAATTCGATATATTGTGATGGTCCACGATATTATTGTCAGAACTTTGACGATACGATATCACGATATTTTGATTATTGTTACACCCCTAATAACTGCACAAAACAAGACTGCACCGCTCTCTTATAGGTTTGTTGTTTAAAAAAAAAAAAAAAAAAGGCAACTCTGGGTGAGTTTGTTGTTTTAATTACATAATTTGAAAAAAATAATCAAATGTTCAAGTGTGTATATATATATATATATATATATATATATATATATATATATATATATATATATATATATATATATATATATATATATATATATATATATATATATATATATATATATATATATATATATATAATACATATATCATATACATATCAGACCAAACGTATTGGCAGATCTTACCAACCATCAGTTTACTCTGTATTCTTTGGTATGGGCCATTAAAAAAAAGAACATATCAGTCGATCTCGTATTGTCTAAATTTGACTTTTGCCATAAATCATACTTCATTTTTTGTCCTGACAGGCCTGCTTCTGTATTTACTATAGACTCCAGTATACACACATACCAGGTCTGTTCTCAGTAATACCATTCACTGCATTCCCACAGTTCGGTCTGCCTTAAACAGTCATTATCTCACTGCAGTAATCCAGGGATGACTTTGACTTTCTCTGCTCTTACTGTGAGCTCTTCCCCATGAGGAGGACTTTGGGACCCCCCACTGGTTAAAATCCATGGGGACCTTTTTTGTAAACTGGGTGGTATTTGAAGTCAGCGTGTCTGGATGGAAAATTGACTTAATGCAAAAGGCTTCTCAGTAGTTCTCCTTTTAGCTGTTGTTAATATTTGTGAGTAATAAATTTGACTCAGTGGGAAGTAGTCTCTGAAATAAAAATAGAGGATGTGGTCATATACAATACATGAGAAAGAATGGCGTATTGATCTTGTTTGTCTAAATAATTTTGGGTTTTTTTCCACTCACTGCAGTGTTATTCCATAGTTTCCCACCAATTTCAGATGGAGCTATGTACTCACCATAATCTCATGCAGTGTGTGGAGAGACTGTTGCCTTTTTTAGTTGTTAGAGTTTTTCC